TGATTCTAAGTACACTTGTATTTACAGGCTATTCCGCTTTGCATTTAATTTCTTTAAAGGTGATCGACACACCAAATACAACCCTCTACTATACTGAAAATCATTTTCACCCTGAATCTTATGGAATAACCTTATTTAAAGTCTGACAGAACTAATCACATTAAATGATAACGCTACGTCCAAACAACAAATTCCCAAGTCACATAAATGTTGTAATAAAGTGTTTTGGTTTGTGACGGTTGGTATGACTGCAACCTGGTTTTGGCTGAAAGCCACCTTCTTGACGTATTTTATAAATGGACACTTAATTTCCTTTCTTGCCATCTTTTGAAATTACTTTTAACATGTTTAGCCTCTGGATCACGTAATTTACTAATAAAAAGGTTAAATACCTGTAGTACTGTCTGTGATCCTGGAATTTAGGTCAGCGACCCAGGTTTCGAACCTAAAGGTTCATTTTCAAGCAGGTACCATGGTTAAAAACACATAATCCTCTTCATAACTGTGGAGAGTCGTTATAACACACGAGACACGAACACGAAAACACTAAACATTAAAGAAAATTGGCCAATTATAATACTGGTACGGTAGCGTGCGTGGTGTAGCCGGCAAAAGAGAGTCGACTCATCTGCAATTTCTTTCCGGAAATAATGTACCCATACGATTAAATTTTGAAATGATAAGCTTTTTTAAACATTTATTTCGTTGGAAAACTTACATATAAAGTAAATAAGGAAAATAATCGCACAACATAAAGCTCACTGTGGTAAAGCAAGAAAACAGTTTATATTGATTTCACTATTCATTTTGATATAATTGATATGTTTTACCGTAGCCACTGAGCTTTTTTTAAGTTTAATCTTTACTTGCAGATCAGTGTGTATACAGGATGTCCCGGAACTCTCTAACAATATTTTAGGGCATTGCTCCTGGGTAAGAAACATACCTAAATATCATATTTAAATTATCCGGAAGTCCTTAGTTACTCACACAGCCGCCATTTTGTTTTTTAGTTATTAATTTTTTTTCTAAAGAATGGTTGTTAAGGATACGAAATGGAAACTTTGCACAAACATTTATGACAACTAGACAAAGCTACCAAAGAATTATGAAGGTTTTTCAAATCCATAAAACAAAATGGCGGCCATTTAAAATTTTGTTTCTTAAATAATTTGAAGACCGATGATTTTACAAAAAGTTTATATGAATAACTTTTTTAAGGAAACTGCATTACAAATTGATTGACACCTTATTTTTTAAGATTGGACATGTATTAACTATGATATGGCAGTTTTAGTGATACGTGACCGTGAAGTGATATGGTTTTAGTGATTATTTAAGTTAAAATTTTCGGGAAACTTTGTTGCTTTTGAATGTTATTTATTTACATTCAATTTTATTTCAGTTGAACCAAGATATTATTATAGAAGTTATTATTATACCATATTGAAGCTAAGGTATTAGGCTTCAAAAAAAGTTTAAGTGTACAAGTAATTTATTAGTACCGTAGTTAAAAAATTATAAAAGTTTACAACTTTTTTTAGCTTATGGTTTCAAGTTGCCCCGTTTTACGGTAGTTGATTTTTAGGTACAGTAAAGGAATCACTCATGGAAACTTAATTTCAAACCTATCTTGGCATAAAACCAATGATTTATTTTTAATGTACAATACATACTCTTTCATAAAACCAATGATCTATTATATTATTAAAGTGATACAAACAAATTTTATGTAAACGGTTAAGGCCAATTACCAAATAAAAATATAGGCATATGGCATATCAAAATGAAGCTTAGAGTGTGTAGATTTTCCGAAAAGTATTGATATGGACGAACTCCCTTAGGGCTCTGCCCCACAGTAGGGTACCTAAAATTGTGTACTATAATCAGTACGTTTAATCAAGCGAGAAAAAAAAAACAGTAAATAATATAATTGAAGTAATTAATCTCTTGGAGTCTGTACTATTTACACTATTAACATTACTATAAATCATTTGGATTATACTCTAATTTAGTTTCTTTATACAATCCCCTTAAGCTTTTGGTTAATCGATTTAAAATGTCCATCAAAGTGTAATTAGTGAAATCGAAAAATAGTTCATTGATTAAATCTAATCGCTGAGAGAAAAGGTCAGAATTCTGGTTTCATTATAAAGAGATTATTCTGCTGATGGAAATCTAGATTCTTGTTCTTCTTTTAAGTTCATCTAAAATAAAGTAGCATCCCTAAAGGCTTGATTAGGTATTTACAACGTCTTATGTATATAAGAATAAGAAACAAAAAGTGTGCAAAGATTTTTAATGTGCATTGTTTGATAGATATTTTTGTTGGTAACGTACATTAACAACGATTCCGCAACTGCATACACGAATGAAAAAGCCTACACGAAATATACTTATTAATTTTTTTTCTCGAATGTATTCTCAAAAAGCAGTCAACCTAGACATGCTAGAGACATAAGTGCCTCTTGGACCACTTAATAGCACTTCACTCTGTGTAGGCCTGTTCTGTGTTGGACGGCAGATAGGCTCTTTAAGATTTTCAGAATGATTTATTTGAGATTGTCTCTATCGTTGGGCTTTTCAACCTCCCAAAGAAAACAAACCAAGATTCGGGATTTTATTTTTTTGGGAATCTTACCTGATGTGGGGGTGGTTGTTTCTCACTTATGAGGTACATTTGGATTTATACTATATTATGTGGTACCTTAAACTATATTTTACATTGAGCATGGTAAAATTTGAAAAATAATTATTTTTAGAGCTAATTATCGTTTGTATAGTGGTAGTTTATTTAAATGTACGCCGATCATCTGATGGACTATTAATTTTCCACCATGAACCGTGTCATGAAAAAGTTTTTATCTAATATTACCCAATAGTAATCAAGTAAGAAAGAGTAAATGAGATTTAATACCTAATCTAGTGACGAATGACGTAAGCTCAGAGTAGTATTGGGTACTCAGTCAAGTCCAATTATGATATACTAGACTAAATAATACATACAATAAACAATAAACATAAAATATCCATACATATAATAAACAACTAATATGTACATATAATAAACATAAGGCATTTATTTTGATGATCCAATTTAAGCTCAAGTACAAACAACTACATAACACGTTTAATTGACTAAATAAACCAATGTGAATGGTACCTAGTAATAAAACAGTTATTTTTATCTTGATTCAGAATTGAAACGGATCTTCCCTTAGAATTATTGCGTTACATTCAAGCAGAAACTAATAAATCCCAGGAAATTCTAGACGAGTTCAGGAAACAATAGATTGCCTTAGATGGATCTCGTAGACTCAATCATATACTGATAAACATTTATCTAAGCTCAGAATTGCTCAAGTTTTGGATTGGCTGTCAAAAGCCACTTCCATTCTACTATTTCGGACCCTTTTATACAGTTATACCGTCACATAAATCTAAAGTCAATGCATTATCTGCTTTAAAGTTTATTTTATTTCGTTTGGTATTAAACAAAATTAATTTAATGATTGCGATTACTAAATATGCGTATAATATAGACCAAATTATCACTGCTTAGTTAACTTCACGATTTCTTGTTTAAAGTGTCAAAAACAAATTTCTCATAACATAGAATGTTTGTTAAAATATAATAGTTGCCGTTGGTCGTTGGTTGTTATGAGTTTCAAAGTATTTTTAAAAATTTACTTTCTCCACCAAATAAGAATATAGTTGCTTTGTGTGTAAAAATCGCGCAAGAATGCACTTATAACAAAAATGCAATTTACACACAACTATTAAGTTTCAAGGAATAAATTATGACAAAATAAAAACACACTGTCCATTTCCTCGTTTTGAAACAAATGCAGAGATCGAATATGAAATAAAACATATCCTCAACAATAAAATAAATCAAATACGGTAATTTACATGTTTAAAATAATATTTTTCCTATTGTTTAAACACCTAAACACTACAATAATATCCCTAAAGACTTCACACAGAAGCTATTATCTGTAGCCACCGAAGTCTGAAGTGGTCCTCAACTCAAGTGGTTCTTATTGGTTGACAACGCTTCGCTAAATTTACCATTGTTGGATTGATTCCTTCAAACACTTTGTGATAACAGTCCAACCTGAAGTTCTCACACCAAGTTTACCTTTTGTCATATTTTATATAATTTGTACATTTAAATAATTAAAAATTGGAAGAGTCACAGTGGCAATATATACGTTGTTTTGTAATGTAATGCAAAGTCGTATTGATTTGTAGGGTTCTTGTAGTTTGCAATATTCTCTAATTGTTCTCACTTGGCTGCGGATATAGAATAGCTGAAGCAACCACATCCATAGAAAAAGCATTGATTTCGTATCAGTTACTCGAAAATAATGAAGAGCAATTAGAAAAAAAAGTCCTGCCTAATATAAATGAATGGATTTTAGGTGTTTCTCTCTCAAATTTAAGGTGAAAATCGTTGTTGTAATTACCAAAAATCTTGGTGTAAGTCCTCCTATTACAAACGTTTTTTGTTTTAGAGTCTGCAAATCCAATGATAGTCATAAAATGGTCTTTATGGCCAAGACTGCCCTAGGATTTGTGTGGAACAAAAATATAAATTTTTGCATACTGAATTAATCAAAATCGAAACTATCATTAGATTAAGTAATTTTGTATCAGCAATTATTTTTATTTTATTTAATAGTTAAAAAACAAATAATTCACTAAAGAAATTTCAAAACTGCTTGCAAATATAGAGATGCCAAGTGGTATATCAGATAGAAGTCAGATGTAGCTGAGGTAGCCCTTCCAAACAAAAAATTAGCCTGCTACGGCCAAGTTAAATCTATAAAAAAATATTTGATTTCGCCTGTTATAAAATCAGGTGAATCAACTGAATTAAATCTTCCTGCTACTATTCAGACGAATTTTCCTGAAGAAATTTACCATTTCCACCAGTAAAAATCTGTTTAAAATTATCTTTCTTATGTTACTGTAATATTTTTTTTGGTTGTCTACAGACAGAGGTGGCCATGATGCGGGAGTTACGTGGTTTCGCTAGCTTGGACGGAGAAGTTCACGGGTTCGATCCTGGCGACAGCTTCTCAGTATCCAACTCCACTCTGGAACAGCTCCATTCTGATGACAGGTAAAGGTATTCACTTAGTCATAGCCATTATTCATTAGTCATAGTCATAGTCATTATTTCTTAAGTCTGCCAACTTATTTGCTCTACAAATTTAAAAAATCGTGACAATATTTTAGGGTAATACATTGTAGCACAGCATACTTTTACTCAGCTATGTCTACTTAAAAAAATCTAATATTCAACTTATACAATATTTTTTTCTGATAACTACTACTTTGGTATTTTTTTTTGGACTTTCGTATTATACGGAGGCCAGTTATTTTGCAGCGTGCTGTGGTGGTTATGTTAGGTTGGGTTATCATAAATATGTTTGTAGGACTTTCTTCGTTTCGTTACGAATCAAACGATACCATTATGAGTCATAACAAATTTATGACAACTCAACCTAACATAACCGCCGCAGCGGGTATAAGGGTTTCGCATCCGTACAATACGAAACTACCTTTTTTGCTTACTATTCGTTGGGTTAAAACGCCCAATACTTTGGGAGCCACTAGAAAACGAATAATTCTTAAATAAACCAAAGATTTCACTTTTTAAATAAACTAAATGTTTAAAAGTGTTCAGAGAGGAACGCAATCGCTGAAACTTCTTAACTTAAACCAACACTATCGTTTTTATAGGAGCCTCTATCAGCAAACGTTCCCGGTTTAATTTCCGAGAAGCAGAAACATGCAAATAAGTACAACAACCCCCCTCCCTCCCCCTCACTACCTTTACAGAGCAAAGTCCAATTAAAACAGTGTGATGGGAGCGATACGAATGTCTTAACCAGGTGGTTGCAAACTTATGTTTTTTTTTAGTTTTCCTAAAAAAATACATGCACCATACTTGTAACTGGATTTATTTTTACCGTATGCCTTTTTTATTTGACTATTACTTTCACATTTAACACCTGGATAAGTAAGTTATAGTGAATATGATCCGTGATTGGGTGTGGAGTAAGTTAGCAGATGCATAACAGACTTGGACAAGACAATTCTTGTACTATACAGTATTTACTTTCAAATGCCCAAAGCCAGGACTTAGTATATTATCATAGGTAAATTGTTATAAATTCCACATTAAGTCTATAATCCTTCTACCCAAAAATATTTTAATCCTTTTTAGAAATGATTTTGTACTTAAATATTTCCTTGCAAGAATCACCATTTTTGTAATGGTTAGAAGACTGGTTCTACTCTGGAACTTCAGGCTCAATCCCCGTCAATCACAAATAAATGGCTATAAGCTTTATGGTTATCCCGTAACCTCATTGTTTCGATATATTCCGTTACATATGCAGTCCAAAAAATATTTATTAGTCTCTATTGTATTTTTTACGTTGGAGACTCTAACAAGGACGACAATTTGTACAGTAAATTATCCAAGTGCATGTATAGGCATTAAGATGCCCATCTGTGTTATATACAGTCCTATCCTACTGAGTGAGCTGAACTATTCGGGCAGTAATGGTAATGAAGACCGAAGTGCCCATTTCGTCATGTTAAGCAATTCCAGTTACATTATACAATGCGTATGCACTTGAGTTATGCTCTAGATGTATGGAAGAGTCGTGTTTTCCCGTTGTAATATTGTAACTTCGAAGTAACAAGTTACCTACATTATTCTTTGAAATGAATTGTACATGTCAAATATTATACAGTGTTATATAGTTAATACAATTACTGTAGGTAAGTCGTTCATTTTTCTGTAAATATTCTTTTCCCCTGAACTTTAATTTTTATTAAGTTAATTTGTAAATGTTTGAATAAAATTAAATGGATAGTATTTAGTAAAATATTATAACTTTGAATATACAGGGTTAGTAAAAAGTGTGGAGACCCCTGTTATTTTTTTAACGGCCCCTACTAGGAAAACTAAACTCGGCACACCTTTATGACATGTTATGAAGTACTTTTTGGACATAACCGTCACTTGGTGTACATCCCCAAAATGGGGGATTTTGGGGGAAACTCAAAAATTTCAAATACAAAGACCCATCGAAAGACCCCTCATTTTGAAGATACTGGTAAAATAAAACCAACAACGCAAACTAGAGGTCTCTATCTCAGTTCAGTACAAAAGGGCAGCCAATTGAAATTCTCATAAGTTCCCAAACCCAAAATGGGGGATTTTGGGGGAACTCAAAAATGTTAAATGATAAGGCCCATCGAGTGACCCCTCATTTTGAAGGTCATAATAAAAGAAAACTAACAACGCAAACTATAGGTCTCTATCTTAACACAGTAAAATATGGCAGCCAATTGCATATAAAATTGCAAGTTATTTGCGATTTCTAAAGATTTCAATCAGCTTCCATTTTTTACTGGATTGAGATAGAAACCTCTAGTTTTCGTTGCTAGTTTTCTTTTACCGGGACCTTCAAAATGAGGGAGTCACTTGATGGGGCTTATCATTTAAAACTTTTGAGTTTCCCCCAAAATCCCCCATTTTGGGTTTGGTAAGCAAGTGGCTATTATGCTTAAAAGTACTTCATAACATGCCAAAAAGGTGTGTAGAGTTTAGTTTTCCTAGTGTGAGCCGCTACAAAATTTACAGGGGGTCTCCAGACTTAAGTTAAGGGGAAAGCTGTAAGTTAAATTCAATTTCTGAGAATTTCAATTGGCTGCCATGTTTTACTGGATTGAGATAATGACCTCTAGTTTGCGTTGTTGGTTTTCTTTTACCAGGACCTTCAAAATGAGGGTCACTCAATGGGTCTTTGTATTTGAAATTTTTTAGTTTTCCCCAAAATCCCCCATTTTGGGGATGTACACCAAGTGACGGTTATGCCCAAAAAGTACTTCATAACATGTCATAAAGGTGTGCCGAGTTTAGTTTTCCTAGTATGGGCCGTTAAAAAAATAACAGGGGGTCTCCACACTGTACACTCAACATGTTTTGCACAATTTTAGAACTTAAATTAATTACATTTATTTAAATGGTTGGATGTAATTAAAAATAATATCACCCTGCTACAGCTTCTAAATTTTATAAGGGTTAACCAGGTTGGTTCATGGGATAATAAACCACGGTCCATTAATTTTTAAAAGTTTTTTCCAGTATTTTTCAAGTATATTTTCAAGCGTTTCATGAAATACCCTCTGCAGACTGGGAGAAATTCAAATTGTCTGATAAGATTTTTTTATTAAAATATTTCTTAACAATGAATTCATATTGTTTCCCTATTCAAAATCCAGTAGATTTACAAGTAATTATATTTACTGCTACAGGGAAGAGAAAATTTTTTTAGATCAAATATTATTTTTTTTTTCCAAAATCCATCCATAAATAAGCTAACTACAACAGTCCCCTTCTTCTCCATAAGAATAACATAGGAATTTTAAACGTTCAGCTTATTTTTCTCAGTATCCTTTAGTCATACAACAATGCTTCAATAGACAACATTGTTTGTTTTTTGTTGCCCTATGGAGGGGATGTAATACAAATTTGCCATTTCCATACTTAAAGGGTAAAATCGGGAAATTTTTTTTAGTTTTAAATTTTATTACCAGATGATTTAACCTTGGTTCACGAACCCAATCAAGTTTATCCAGCCCTCCGTATTCTTGAAAAAAAAATCGGAATCATATTTAAAAATATAAAAAGGAAAATTTGCTAATTAATTTATGAAGTAATGTAATGCATATCATGTTTCTCATTTCCATAGTAGTAGCGCCAACTATCAACACAGCTGTCAAACCCGACTCTAAAAACTATTAATTTTTAAAGCCACATTTGGTCCATCAGAGAACATGCATATTGAGTTAATTGGCGAAGCGTTTGAATCGTTTGGGAAAAATTATTACCAAAAAGGCTATTAAAGGGTAATTTGAAGCTGGGATTGGCACAGGCCCAAGGGTGCAGTTTTGACGTTGCGTTATAATTACCCCGCTTGTGGGATACAGCCTCAATTATTTGCATGTTGAGGCATCGTGGAAACAGGGCCACAAATGATTCCTGTTTATATCATTCGTTATTTTATTTTATTAATAAAAGATTGGGTGAAATGTACTCCAATAGTGTTATTTGTACGTTCTATTTTTGTATTGATAAACAATTTCAAAAATATATTTTTGTAATAAAACATTTACTTTTTCAAACTTAAAAAGTTTCAATTAAAATTTTAAATTTTCTTCTTATTGAAAACTTGTATTTAATGGTTGTGATCACATAACAAGTTTGAAACTTTTTTACTTTGTATGAGTAAAATCACAAACTGTAAGCCTGTAAGTATACGTAAAGATATTCTGACTTTGTACTTTTATTCATTATTTTTTTGTATAAACCCCGTAATCAACAAATCCACAAATCCACAAATAGTCCACAAATCTAGTTGTAGTTATAGTCCACAAATCTCAGAAAAAAACATACAAGTGATCTTGAACAAACCATATACAAAAATTAAAACTAGTAATCCTTTTAATGTTATAAGTTGCTACGAATAACATTTTAGGTAATGTTTCCAAGCCGTTACTATTGTTCAATCTTTTGTTTATGACCAATTTACACCCAATTATAAGCAGCTAGTAAGCAATGTTGTTTACACGACAGCATTAGGTAATATTTCTTTTACGTCAAATTTAATAATTTACTCTTTATTAATGTCACATCCAGTGTTTTTTATGATATGTGTACATTGTAACAAAACGATCCTGTAATTGTCATATACGTTGTGTCAGTGTCAACAATGCTGCCAACCTCAGACACGTTGAAACGTGTAAAGCTGAGAGACGAAAACACAAGAGTTGTTCATGTAAAAACTCCACCACTTCACGTTGTGGGGATGTTTTCAATTTTTCCAAGTCCTCGAGTTTACACAGACGCGGCCACTATATTCCCAACTCATGTTTGGCATACTTTTTAAATTGTAACCTAACTTAACTAAACCCGGTCCAGCCTAACGTCTCTAACCTACCCTAACCTAACTTAACCTAACCTAATCTAAATTGTAAACTATGAGTTTTTGAGGTAAAAATTATTTTTTAAACATTTAGAAACCATCGACACATCAAAAAGTGACCAATCATTGTACATTACTTGAATTACTAACATGATTTAAAAGTGAATTATTTGTAATTACAGTATGTGTATGAACAATGATAATTTTATATTCCGAAGTAAATTGATTGAAGTCTAACTATTCATTGAATGGTAAAACAAGAGATAAGCTATTCGGCAACATCAGTACACGTTATGTAAAACTTTATTGGTTTGTGCTATATATATTTATATATAATCAACATAGTCTTAGATTTAGTACAGAAACAAAACTTAATAAAGATCATAGCAAGTCATCACTTTGTAAACTGTATTGTTGTAAACCCTTTAACGGATACTAATATGATTACATTACGTGACAATGAACACAATATGATAGGCTAAAACCATTCTCAGTACAAATTCTTATTAAACCATTTCCAGAAATATCTTAAACATGGACTAAAACCGTAAAAAGAAACAACAAACACGTATTAAAAGCGATAAATACAAACCTTAAACACGTTTTCCTCACAGAACTTGTTTTTGGCTTGGTTTCCTTGTTTATGAAATATTTCACAGCGGTTCCAAGCATATTTACTGACTTTACTCCAACTTTCAAAATATATTTATGGTTATAGGCTTTCCCCAACAACATGAAAACTTATAAACAAAACAGAATTATTACTACCGATGTCCTCTTCCTTATTGTTGGCTTTAAAGAACTTTTATTTTGTTTTCCTAAGTAGTTATCGCTATTATAAGAAAGAAAATTTCAATTTGATTAACTTAGTTTTAATTTCAATAACATATTACAATCATATTTCCTTAAAAAAACAGTTGATGTTAAATCTGTTGTTAAATTAATTATCTTCATGTGTTGGAATATAAATTATTAGAAAATGGAGGATGTATCTATCCAAAGTCCATCAGATGCATTACTTTCAAATCTCAACTTTACTTATTACTTATAATTGAAAATCGATGCACGATTGTCTTTAAAATTATAGAAATTGCCTCTGCCTTTTCTAGAAGAAAGCTGTAGGCACAAAGTTATACTATGACAAATGTATTGTTTATCTAGTAGTAAATAGGCCCCTTTTCATTTGTAAAAGTTGTAAACTAAGCATATTTCCACTATAAACTTATTCAGAGCAGCGATCTAGTGGTAGAGCGCAGGGCTTCGTTCCCGAGGTCCCGGGTTAAAATCCCACCAATCTACTATAGATTTTTATCTATGTGATAATGTCCTGATTCTCTTTAGATTTGCATGTAAAAAGTGCAGGCTAGAACCTAGCGTCCTAGAATGTGAAGATGATACGAAATCTATCAAGCTATTTGACGACTACTTAAACTACACGTACAAAAATAGCTATTTCAATCACAGAAGACAGTGAAAAGTACAATCATTTTATCCCTCACCACATCTTTCTAAGTAGAAAGCAGTTATTAATCAGAATTGACTATAGATCTAAAACCTAGTTGAACCCGGACAATATAGCGTCATAAGGAACATTGACCCCAACACCGAATGGTCTATTACATCATAATGTTATGCGATCGTGTTATGCCTTGGTATATCACCAAGCCTCATTGCGTTATACATCATAAAATATTACACTAGGATATTGATGCTAAAGCAAAATTCCATATTGATAGACATAAAGAAAATATAGATGTTCCATTTCAAATTGCTAGACGCAGCAATAAAATGTTTTTATTTTTTTTAAATTATTTTATGTTTATATTTCTTTTTAGGCCAGAGGGGTTTTCTAATTTTTTTTTAAAGCCAGTTCTGCATTACTTCTTTTTTAGTTGTTCACGTTCTTGATCCTTGATTTTTTTATAAATGGTCCTAAATTGAGATATGTCTCAATTCAATGATTATAACTTGCAGTTGAAGAGTATAATACTTATAATTAATTACCAATAACAAAAATATATATTTAATCGAGCTTTATTTCTTGATTGTTTTCATTGTATTTTAACAATTTATATTTTGATTTTTATTAATAATTTTAAACAGCCATTATCGTTTCATATGCGGTCTTAAAAGTAAAATGACAACGAAATATCCATAAGGCATTGTTTTGACAGTTAATTTATCGATCAAACTTAATGGTCCATACAATTTTGGAACACATAATCCAACCTCTTACCAAAATAGTAGATTTTAATGTTATATTACAAACTGCAATAAACAAATTATATAAAAATATATCAGAAACAAAAATGGTATGTAATACATGCCTACTCCTACGGTCAACAATAAATATGTTACGTATTTAATACAGTGTCCTGTTTATCTATTGTTAAATTTCTGAAGTATTAGTTTATATCAGGTATTACTAATATTTAAAAATAAAACCAACCTATGGTTGTCATTCCTATGTACATGATTGTTTTAACTCATCAGGTTTATAAACAGTTAGAGTCAAAGCTATAATTTTAGATTTAATATTGAATTTACATTATTATTTTGAACATATTTTGAAAAATAACAACAATTTTTGCAGAGATTATTGTAGTTAGTTCCCAAACTTTTTTTGTAATCGTACATTAACATTTAGGGGTAATCACTCTTTTGGTACGCAACACGAAAAAGGTTAAACAATTTCCGCTTTGTCCTCTGTCTAAATTACATTAAATTGTCTCTCAAGTGCAGCTAACGCCACTATTTTGGAATTCCAAGCGCGCGTTGGCGTTGGACCAAAACGGAACATTATGTAACGCGCAGTTTTAATTGGTTTGGGGCGTGCTTATTTGCATATTTACAGTTGGAGGGTGGGATTACGTTTCTTTTGGGAACATTTTGGTAACTGTTATCACGTTTTTCAACTGTGGATTTCTCCGAATATTTTAATGGATTAAAACCGCGCTAATTTTAGCTTTAATTTAGTAATGCCCACTGAAACTTTGAGATAATATGAGAGTTTTATTTTGATTTTTTGTAGTCAATAGATTAATTTAACTATCGTTTGCATTATAAAATGTATACAAGGACACCATAATGAAAAATCTTAACAATAACTTGTTAGATTTTTTTGTTTTCAAAGTGTATACCCTACAACTAATTTCAATAGTAACCTAATATGTTTAACTAATTATTTTAATTTAACACTTTTAAGCATAAAATTACTAATTACTTAATGGTGCTATGTATAGTGTTTTACATTTTTCAGTATTTTTGAGAATTTCTTATGTATGTAATAAGCTATTACTGTAAGCCATGGTAAGACTTGAACCCGAAATCGGTTACTCTTTTCGTCTTAAGGTTCCCAGAGGCCTAAAGTCCATAACAGTTTATGGCTTATAATATATGTTAATACTGACGCTTGTGTGTTTGCTCTAAATTTGTTTGGGGTGTACAAGATATTTATTTGCCTGTTAACAATACCACAGTTAGTATTATATTGTAAATCGATTTACTTTTACATCAGCTGTTAAACATCTTTACTTTTTTAAATTCAGTATAAAAAAATAACTCTAAACAAGTAATTTTGTGGCGAATGTTAAAATAAGCTAGGCAAAAAACTTGGCAAAATGTTTTCTTATAAAACGTGACTCACAAATTAATTGCATAAATTAACATCATTTTCTTTGCTGGATTGAGTTAATAGTAATGAAATCAGTTTTAAGAAAATGTCTTTCTTGGCCATAATTTGCATAGATTTCCAATCTGGTTTTTGCTAACCTTTTAGTTTGGTTTACATTTGCATTAATATTCTACTCCATAACAATACTAATATCGTTTGTGATAGTTATGTAGAATGTATTAAAAAGTCCAACCTTCATTCAAAATTGAAAAACTTTTCCTTTCTTTTGTTCAATGTGCTTATAAAGCTAAGTGTATCAGTCTTAACTCAATAACAAATGACCTTTTATCGTTTGAACTTACTTTTTATTTTTCCGATGACGTATTTATTAAAGTTATAACTAATATTTTAAAGCAATGAAACTTTTTACGTTTTCAAAAATATGCAATATCAGCGCACTACAACCTTAGTTTGGTTTAATCTAATGAAACAAGAAATAATCTGTATGGTGACTTATATAGTTATTTATATATATGTTGTGTTTTAGGTTTTCAACTACTATGTTGAAGTTGGCAACACTTGCTACAGTAGTCATCATGGTGGTTGGCATTGTTGGAAATTCACTTACTGTGGTGGCACTACTGCGGTGCCCGAGAGTGAGAAATGTAGCCGCAGCCTTCATAATCAGGTACAGCCTACCAATAAACTGATGTTTAGTTAAATCTATAATATATATTATATAACTCTTTCTATGGCTGTCTTTCTGTCAATCTAAGGTCAAACGTGACAAGGCTAGCTTCTTATGGATTGATTCAGTGTTATTTTTACCTACTTAAGATTTTGCCCCTGGCCTTTAAAGTTCCAGGAGTAGTTTTAAACAAAAATGTATCTCATTACAATTTTTACACTTGCACTATTGATGTTAAAGCTATCATTTTTGTCATACAACTGGTTACAATCGACCCACGGGCATGATTAATAAGTCCAATTGATAATTTTTCATCTCCGATAGTGCGTTATCTTCCTGCTATAATACAAAGTTAGCCTTTAATTAGGCTATGTTAAGACTATAAATATCCATCGGTGGAGTTATCAGATTGTGTTTTTAAAAACAAAAAATAATATCAGGGAGTTTGTTTAGGTATACATACATTTTAAATCCAGTTTTATATTACTTTTCAATGTTGATTTGGTTGTAGTAAGCTGTAGGCCTATACAAATAACGTCTTAATAGTATTTCCCCTTTAAGGGTGTTGTTTTTTTTCGATAAGGGCGTTGAGGAATTCAACAATTAATAATTATCTAGAAAAGTAGTATTCACCTGTTATTTTTTAACAAATACTATCAACTGCAACTTTAAACTGTTCATGTAATCGTTGATGGTTAAACACTTATAACTATTATACTATTATACTAGTATACAACATCCAAAGTTGTATAAAAGTGTTCTTTTTTTACTACCGCAGTTCCTTAATAACTACACTTGGTCAAGTTTCGTATTTTTTAGATCAACTATTTATCTCCTATTATATTCAAGTGACGAGTCTGCGAAGATGTTTCTTGTGAAAGAACTGATGATGGATTATATAATCCCGAAATGTATACAGTCGTTGTAGTAAAACAGAAATTGCTTGTACTGAAGGTATGTAACGTTGAATACTTTAAAATTCAGCAATCCTCAAGACTACAAAATGAATAATTAATACGAAATCCGTTACAATTATCGAGAGTAAAAATAACTGTTTTAAACCACACTGTAATGTTTATGTTTACGTTCCAGCCTGTGCATAGTGGACTGTCTCTTCTGCATATTGGTGTTGCCGTTCAGTGCTCTCGCCTACTACCACGGGACATGGAAGTTCGGGGACACCCTGTGTAAGATTGTGCCTCTGATAAGATATGCAAACGTGGGAGAGTCACTGCTCTGCATAGCGATGATAACGATCAACAGGTGAATATCTAGATTACAAATCTTTGTACAAACAAATATGCGTGTGGCAGCTAAAATGACTAAAATGATGAATTCTGTACCAAATTAAATTCTAACTAAATTCTGACGCTTTTATCTTAACGTTGGGGAAAGCATTACTGCAGTGGTAATGCACAAGACTTTGGTTCTCGAGGTTCCGGGTTCAAATACCTCGAATCGCAAATTGAATTTATCCAAGTGATAATGCTGAAACCACCTCTAGTCCTAGCCTGAAGTAGTGTGGAAAACGATTCCCGGACTAGAGTCTAGATAAATGAAATAAACCAAACAATCTGAACACAAGTTAAACAATTTAGCCGAAAATTGGACATGGCGTTGCAAAACCAACTCTAGCTCTATAGTCAAAGTTAACCCTTCATCATTAAGGTTGTAGAGTCAAGCTTGCAAATAGCTATGCTCGTTAAGAGCTTTAGTTCACTACACAACTCATTGTCAAGTTCAAATCCCAAAGTCATGTCACTTGTAATACCAGGAACAGTTCCTCTAAATTAGCATGTACTTGAATTTGTACGAAATCGGAACTAAATATATAGCAAAATGGTTTAAAATTTGTTCATATGTTTAATCTCTAGACCGATTGTGGAATGATGAAATTTTGAATATCAGAAAATTAACGCTGAGTGTTTGGACCATCCTTGAAAAATTGGTACAATTTAATAACGTATTAGTGTTATTTAAACTGTTTATCGACGATGTAACTAAATTGTTAGTTTATTGATCAAGCATAAAGTTAAAAACCCTAAAGACTTGGAATTGGAGAGTATTTTTAGACTCAACAATTTATCCCTTTTCCATTTTCAACTTACATTGCAAAACTTAAATAAACACTTCTCCTCTTTCTGTCCTACATTGCCACCTGAATGAAATTAATGTTTTTGGAATGCTTCATATTCATCAATTAACCTAAAAATAACCTTGCACTAACACTAGGGTGTTAAAGTAAGTACATTTCTTTTATATTTTTAAATTAATGGGTTTATATAGTCTATAGGATGGAACGTGTCTCCTGACCCATGGTTTAAGGCCCAGGTAGACAGAAGGCCAGGATACAAGTTCCATCATACAGACTATAATATTCACCTTATTTCAGGTACGTGATGATCGCTCACTACGGAGTGTACACCAAGATCTACAGGCCGATCTGGATAGCCTCAATGATCCTGTTTTGCTGTACTCTTAGCTTCCTGATGCAAGTCCCTACGTTTCTCGGAATATGGGGTATGTAAGTAATCGGTCAAGAAATGGATAATCGTATGTTTCACGACTAGTACTGGTAGTAGTTATCTGGTGTGCACTCAAGTAGTGTCACATAGGCAAAGCCAATCGTAGAAACAACAAACTTCACGTGCAAGGGGAAGCAACGTACTATGAAATTATTTTCATTCGAAAATTTTCTTTTCATAGCTATACAGCGTAGTTTACAAATAATGTTTGGTTCTGTTCTTCTCCAATGAAGGACCTAAAGTGCTTGATAACTTAAAGCACCCGATTGATGAGTCGCAAGTGAAAACTGCAGCCCATTGACAATCGTAGTACTGTAAGTAGAATCTTGATATTTTCTGAATCATTCATTTTTATTACAAACCAATTCAGAGAAGATTGTCAATTGATTTTGCTGGGTTTTCCTAGGCGTGGAAATAGACGCCAATAGTTGAGTACGCTCTCCTTTTTAGCTTTTGTTTTTTAACTATTTGTCTAAGTATGTTTAATGGTACTGTCTTCTTATAAGCGTTGCGGACCATCACTGGATGAGCGGAAAATCGTTTTTCCGCACTCCGCACTCCGGGCTCAGGAAAACTAATCCTAGTCTAGCTTAAGCTAATAATGATTAGCCTACTAGACTTGTTGCTTTTCCAGGAAAATACGCTTATGATGACAAAATCAAGAGCTGTACCATAGTCCAGGACGAGAATGGAAGATCCTCCAAGACCGCTTTGTTCATCATTGCCTTCGTCATTCCATGTTTAATCATCATATGCTGCTACGCCAGGATATTCTGGGTTGTCCATAGGTAAACTAAGAATCTAAAAGTTTTAAGAACTTTTTACAGAATATTATATATAAATTTTATTCCTCTTTGTATAACCCAGTTCAGAAATTGATCAATTTAATGTGTACAGTTTTAATCTTTTTTGTGTGTACCACCTCAATGTTGTTGTCTTGGCTTCAACCAATAAAATTAGGTTGTTGGGAACGCTTTACTCTGTAAGACAGAGCATATCTCCTGATCCTTCGTAAACCTGCGGATGGCCAAGGCCAGTTCCAGGTAGACTAAGGTTCAAGAGATGGGTTCAGTAATATACAGACTTTTATAATTGCTTTACTAAAATAGCAGGTAATATAAGTGGTAATTGTAAATCACTGTACACTTATGGAGATTTTATCTAGGCTGTGACCGAATGATTGCAGTAAAACAGGTTTAATAAGATAAAATTGGACATGTGTAACGTTTTACTTTTTTAAGAAGACTATTGAGAGCAGTTTAACTGGCTCTGGGACCTCTGCCCATAAAGAAGATATTTTTAAGGTTATATTATTACCAAGAGATTCTTTGAAATATTACTGATATTTTGTTAAGTCTTTAATGTATTTTTTTACTTAGGAAAACGTTGTCAATGAAAGGGATTGAATTAAAAGGTTGATGGAGTAGTGTTTATTGCTTCTGACTTTGGGTTCTGTTTCTTCAAATTTATAGAAATCTATCACTGAGTTTTTGTAGGGAATTACTTGAATAGGTAATTTCTCACACTTCTAAGAAGACAACATGTTTATTCTCAGTTTTCTCATGAGGTTTTTCATTGATTTTTACAGTTCAGAAAGCAGAATGAGAAAACATGCATCCTCCAATGCCAAAGACACGAGGACAGGAAAAGAGAAGAAGGATCAGAAGAATAGAAGAAATGAATGGAGGATTACTAAAATGGTGTTGGCAATCTTTCTCTCGTTTCTTCTCAGCTATCTTCCCATCACAGTAGTCAAGGTGGTTGATAGCAATGTGGAGAGACCAGGTTTGTCTAAACTAGTTGTACCATTGACTTTGGATACTGAAGTAGACATTCCAATCCATCATCGGTCGCCAATTATTTATTAGAAAAGAACATAGTTCCGTGAGCAAGTCACAGAGCGTGGCTGGGCTGGTGTTCAAAATTTTTAAGTATTACCTACCTTACTGTTTTTTTACTGGTGGGCTGATTTATAGGGGCATAAAAATGCGATTGCTTACAATAAGTTGTTTATGAGTTTACATTGGTTAAAAAGTCTGCATTGACAGAAATCAGTAATTTATATAAGTGCAATCTGTCAATAGCTCACTTCAACCACATCCATTTTCATTAAAAACTGGAAAAAATTCAACATTGGGATAGAATGCCTAGTTTTAACAATGAATGGTCAAAGGTTTTACTTACCAAATTTTTTATATACATGAAAAAATAGTGTATTAATACATTTAGGATTAGGTTCGAGCAACACACAATGTTTATGTAACTAAATGTATTTTGCTATCAACAAGAGCTGAGATGTGGACCCTAATAACTTTATCCAGTGTTGTCTTTTTGTATTGTTTAATTATTGGGGGGTTCATTGAAATAGTGGCTCAAAGTAAAAGTTTGTATGGACTCCTTTAAATAAAAAAAAATATTCAACTTACCACCAACAGGAACTGAATTCTCATATACATAAGGCTAATCAAAGTAGAAAGTTAATGAGACAATCCAGTAATCTTCACTGTTTTATTTTTCTAATGTCATTGTTAAATTCATTGAAACAATTTACTTATGTTTGGTGGATTCCAAGTTATTTCATTTTTATATATTTTTTGAAATCCCTTCTGTATTTATTGTGATTTAATTGCATTTCTTTTAATTTGCTTATGAAGCTAAACTCTTGAGTAGTAAATTTGGTCCTTGTAAGTTCTCGTTTGTAAAAGTTTACCATATCAAGTTTGTTTTAATAATAAAAATAAAACGGCTGATCATGAAAAACATTTCTTTGACGAATCAGTTACTTTATTAGATACTACAAAACATTTTCCACAACCAAGTGATTTAGAATTAAGTAAGATGTTCATATCATTACATTAGAGTTGTAAGCATTGTTTTCGCTAAACCTTTAAAATAAAATTTTTCTTAGATTCTTTTTCTACCCCTCATGACTATTTTACCGATGTACATTAACTGACTTTTCCCCATGCAGCCCTGCACGTGTGGTCCACCATCATGCTGTTCATGTCAGCATGCATCAACCCTATAATCTACGTGATCATGAACAAGCAGTACAGGCAGGCGTACAAGACCGTGTTGACGTGTACACGGCCTAGAATGTTGTCCACAACCCCTGGACCGGGCTCCAGCTACGGGGGTGAGTAGCAAGTGCATGAGCTGCACTTCATTTAATTAATTGTTATATATGTAATTGAACAAATATCTGTTAGCGCTGATTTTTCAAGGATCTTAAACATTGACATTTTTGTTAAATTGATAGACGTTAACCATTGTTAGGGTGAAATAGGGGATTTAATTGGTGTTTTTGTAGCAGGGGGGAGGTATGTTCAAATTTGGGGTTCAATACAAAAGAAAATGTTGTTTTCTGCACACTAGAGTTTCAAAGTATAGTTTTTTGAAGTGGGTGGATAAGGGAGGGATCTATAGGGTAAATTAAAATTGTTAATTATAAAACCAACTTAGGAATATTATTTGTGATAAAAATTTTTAAACATTTTAAAATTAAATAATTCACTTTGTTTTATATTATTGTAATCAGGCCGAGTGTTTTTTTTTATAACAAATCATTATTTTACTTCAATATACACAACCATAAACTAAATTACCTTACTAATAAACCATTTAAAACTTTTTATGTAGTTGCTATTCAAATGAAAGTAATTAAAAAATTACAATCCCAATCTTTTCTTAACTAGTTTCACAACTTAAACAAGTTTCCTGAAAGAAATGTTCATTAGTATTTCAATCTGTCCGGAACATTAAGCTAAATAAGTTCTTTCAAAGGAAGCTTACAACTACTTTAATTCGCTTGCCGTATCAGTAAAGTTTTCCTAACTGTTATGGCTGTTTGCAATCATCATTCTGCAATGCACTTTTATTGCGGAAACTTGGAATGAAACTGCATCAGTCGCTAGGCTTTGCATGAAGCTATGCAAACAGTAGGGTTTGCACGGTAATGGTGAACGATATTAACGCAATTTCCTACAAAATTTCCTCTTTCCCAGCAAATGATAGGAATTAGTTAATGTGTGTGCTTCTGCAATTATTTTAAACATGACTTTTATTGTTGGCATCCAATTAAATCAAGTATGCGGTTTATATGATAATTGCCTTAAATTATTAATAATATGATTAATTGTTAAGCAGTTGAGACAGAAATGGCTGTCAGCGAGAGAATTTGATCATGGAGCAGGTATTAAAGATTTATTTTTCGCAAATTTTCGTTTCAGCAGTTCCTAATTTTACTCAAACTTATTTCCGGAAAATTAAAATTTCAAACATAAAAATCAGATGGTATACAATAAACATTAGTATATTTCATCACTTCATTATGAAGTGACTTTTTTCAACACACGCTCCAGTTTAACAATCATAAAAATATTCAAATTGAACGAGAGTCAAAAGACACTAGTTAAGTGAGGGTGGACTATATTTTTGGTCTTACTGTACGAAATTTAGAATCGTTAATTACGAATGAAAGTTTGGTAAATTGTTGTTTTCTTTAATATCCACCAAAATTGTTTTCATATAGTTTTGCTTTATAATACAGGCTATGTTACCAATATTCAGTTGAGCTATTAACCCAGCACCACATTAATAAATTCATAGTATAATTTACTAAGTTATTTTTACAATTCAATTAATTTTTCTAAATGCTTATAAAAGGTTGTTTATAACTGTATTATGGAATATACCATGTTGTACCCCAATGAAAAACAAAAAATAGATAACTTTACAAAATCATATTTTTAAAACCAAGAGAAAAAGTTAGAAGTCTGAAATATGTACTGCCAATATAATAGATCCTAGTTAATTATTTTATCCTTATTGATTCCCCAATCCATTAGTTGAAAAAAAATTTTAAACAAACAAAAAACAAACAATACAAGTGGCTCAAAGTACTGTGAACAAATAGTTAGTTACAAAATACCTTCCTTATATGAATAGGAATATTTTGTTAACACCATATCAAAGATCAATATAACGTAACTAGAGAAAATATATAAAATCCGGCATTGTGTTTGTTTATAAGTTTACCATAAATATTATTACGCAGTTTAAGTGTTATTTGATGTAATATTTGTTTAACTAAATCCGCTATGGTATATTACACTTTTTGAGACTCCCCCCTCCATTCATATGAATAAATAAATTAATAAATTAATTTGTCCGGTGTAATAGTCTTATAGAATCAGGTTTACATTGGTTTTAGCTGTTGATTACAATCGCTGGCAAACTGGCATTTGTGAAACTTTACTATTTATACTAAATTTAGAGACAAATAATATTTAGCATATACAGGTTTCTTATGTATTTATGTAACAAAATTCAGATTAAAAATACTTGTGAATTCAAATCAATGTACACATATTATCAACACCAACAAACATAATCAAATAAATAAATCATTACCAAACTGACTTAACGAGAATTCAGCTTTAAAAAACAATAATAATTAAGACGAAGAGCAACAGTAGAAATATTTATGAATATCTTTTGCATTCTTTTACCATTCATACGCGTCTATAATTAGACCAAATGTAAACATGCAGCATCTAGATGATTATTTATTTAATGTATATGCCAGCCAAGCCATCATTAGCTGTTAATTAAACTTCAATTAAATCATAAGGACTGCAAATAAAGTAAATTAAGATAAACACCAACACAATTAACCGCCATTTTGAGATATTGATTACATTTTCAACGGCACTGACGAAAGTAAAACTAAAGTAAAGCTTGAGCTTAAACATTCACACATCGAAAGCGAATAAGGGTTGATTAATTTTTCAAAGAAAATGAACAATCACATAAACTAAAAGTACACAAACATAAACATAACCTACAGCCATACTTTGTTGATTACTCTTTGAAAAAACCTGAACTACTCTTTAACCAACATATACAAACAACCCAATCAATACTATCATTTGCTGTTACATATAAAAAAATCTTAGCTGTAATTCAACTAAATATCCCAACGCAACAATCATCAGCTGTTCGTTAACCTCTAAACCGCATTGTTCCACTTGATCAGCTGACCAAGTACAAGACTTGTCATTTAGTCAATGGATCAGCTGACTGGTGTTCTCCAGTCAGCATAGTTTAATCACTGATCCATTAATTACCAGCTGATGCATGGACGACAGCTCCATTTATCAATCTAGCTATCGGAGAACCATTTGTCTGCGGAAGACACATCAGCGATGCTTTCCACGATAACATGACCAAATTCAACCCCAAACTATGTCAGTTTTTCATTCAACTTTTTATCGAGTCCATTGTTTTCCTTGTGATTTATATGTGTTCGATTTGAGCATAGGTAAATGTTGAGTAACGAATTTTCGTAAAAGAATATCTTGGTTGGGATTTTAAGGGAAAGGGGGGTTTATTGTGGAGGGGGTAGGGGTAGGTTACTGTGAGTGGTCATTGATTTCATAATGAATAGTTTGTAGGAATAATACTTTGTTATTGAAATTTTGTAAAAACTACAATTTAATAGAAATTATACGGTTAAGGAAATCATAACTAACTGTAAAATACTTCTACATTGCTAAGAAAATTTAATTTTTAAATGCACAAAGTGCAAAAATTATTATTTTAAAACACTCGGATAAAATTTTAACTTTTAAAACCATAAAAAAATAAGCACGACGTTTTTTGTTTAGTTGAATTAAAGATCGCTCTCGGTTTAATTCCAAAAGTCATTTAATCCGAGTTGTAAAATATTTTCAATGAACTTAGAAGCATTGCGTTTTATTACTTTTACTTTTACTTTACTTTTTTTCTTGCTTATAAATAAACTAATAAAAATAGTTATTGCCAATCTAGTTTCTGATAATGTTCACTCTAAAAATTCTACTTTTGTCTTTGAAAATTGTTTTTGTGCTTAAGTACACAAATGATCATGTCATGTGATAGTATTCAATTTATTATGTGCTTTATTAGCAAATTCGTAATCATTTATGACTAACATTTTTTCGCTGATACGCTTGGCTGAAGGAAACATAACCGACTAACTGGCAAGCAGAGTTCATGTAACCAAATTCAGTGTGTATGTTCTGTATTACAGGTTCTAATGGTTTAATATTGAACGACTTAGCTGCTTCTCGTAAGAATTTAGCTAACACACATATAATCAACACTGACCAAAGATATTATGGTGAGTCGCCAAAAATGCAATTCTTCTCCACTGTCCGCAGCAACCTTTTGTACATAGATCTTAACTAATACTTTACAAGAATTTATCACATTTTCTGAACAGTAGATTTGCAAAAACTATTATGAGGACTTATAACAAAAATCAGTTTTACTAGAAAAATAAAAATAATAATGTTTAGTAGAAAATGTTCCAAATTATTGAGTATAATTTTATTTATTAGTATTTGAAGAACAATAATTTATTTTTTTGTTTCACTAATACACATTAATAAAATTGTTTAACGTTTTAATCCCAAAAAAATGTTTTAAAATTGCTTTAGGTTTTACATTTGTAAAAACTTGCCCATACATTTTTTTCGTTATTTCAACATCCTTCCTAGCATCCCTTCCATCATTTTCTGCGTTCTTTAAATCAAAATTATTCTCAACTCTTCAAAAATTATGTTAATTGATTCTCCAATCAATCACAAAAACGTATTATGTTTTAAAAATGGAAAAGTTTTTTATGCCCTTCCTAAAATTACTATTTTGGTTTATTTCTCGGTGATTATGCATGCCTCTGTGTGGTAGCTTTGCTAAAATGGAACTAAAACTCCTTCAAACCCTTTGTATTTAAAACATGTTTCTTTCCAAGCTAATTTTGAATATTAACCACTAACAAACTAAATATTTGTGCTTTGAAGATTAAACTTTACATTGGTTCGTGTCGCTTGAATACAAATTTATTTAAATTTCTGATATGTTTCGAACTGTAACAGAGTATCTATATACCATGAACTGAAATGTATTAATAATCTTTAAGGCAAGGTTAAAAAAATACTAATGCGAATAAATCTTTAAATAATTCACAAGTCTTGTATGTTTTTCTTTTTTACCCGCCTAAGGTTGAGCTTTTATTTAAAGCGTACGCCATTTTCATAAGCCGTATTTACAAATCAGCTTTTATTTTACCATGTATACGTTTAAAGCTTGAAATTCTCGAACTTTGTTCAACATACAGTAGTGAATATATCCGACAATATCATATTCTATAAATATTTTCTAAATGTCAACAATAAAATTAGGCTGAAAAACTGTTGCCAACATTTGTATTTTCCAAAATGTAATTGTAAAATGCTTCTAGATAAGGACAAGTATTTATGAAAAAAATGTGTATTAAACATTAATATTTTTTCCACAAAAACTAAAAAGTAAACCCCTTAAAATGTAACACCTCATACCTACTTGTTACTTAAAAGTAACCAAGGTCTTTTGAGAAATAAAAAAGTATTAGAACGCATTCTTCTTTTTAAAAAAACATTTGATAAATAAAATAAAATTATAAGCAGCAGACATTAAGCCCGATCTCCTGTCCTAGGTCAGTAGAATAGACGATGAAGATCTTCAAGGCTTCTAGGTGAGTGGTTCTATGTATCAGGCTAACCAAACATCATTGTAAACAATCATTCATCATGTAACAAAACTAATTTTGTCATTTAATATTTTCATTACGTGGCTATTGGAATTGTTAATAAGAAAATGGGGGTGTTTTTTTTTATTTATGAACTGGTGTTCTGAAGTTAATTCACAACTTCTTTATTTGATAGTGAATAGAAAAAAATAAAATAAAATTTGATTGATGGCAAGAACTGTTAATTAGGCTGACGCTTATTTTTATTGATTGATTTTATTATCCATGTTATTGAAAAAGCCATCTGACAGAGTACTACAAAAAGCCATTGATAAGAGTATGTTGAATATTTAATTATTGTAAATCAGAACTTCAATTAAGTTAGAACCCATGACACACCATTTAGAAACTCTTCCACTGGGAAGTGTTTGATTTTATTCTCTTTTAATCGACCCGAATATTGTATATACAATATTCGGGTCGATTAAAACACAAAATACCTACTCACCAAAATACCAAAATACCTTAGTACACAAAAGGTAAGTTTTAAAGTCCCTGAAACTCTCTACGAGACAATTTATTTATTTACTATCTAATTATGTCCCGATAATTAGTCATATATGTTTTTAATAATCCCTAATTAAGCATGCAAGGGGTAAGTACATACCTTAAAACCTAACTTTGAGTATTATATTTACAACTACATGTTCAAAATAAATTACGTTCTATTGAAAACTTAAGAATTTATTTATGTAAAATAGGGTTTAACTTAATAAATTATCTTAATTATTAATTTCTTTTCAACACATTACATTTTTTTGTTTTGAAGATGATTTTATTTTCCGGAACAAAAATAATCAATTCAACCTTCCTGGGCCTAGAGCTCGTAGACAGATTCCTAGGCCTTCAACATTAATTTCTAACATTGTGAGTAAAGCTTAAAAATACATTTAATATTTATTCCCAAATCCTTCTCTACAAATCTGAAAATTAGTATTGGTGGTTGTATGAATTGCTTGAATTCTAATTGTTTGAAATATTCCTACCAATTTGATTGAATTTTTTTACTGACACTATTTAACCAATCAACAACACATAAAATTATTCTTTATACACCCAACATACAGTTTTATCATAAGATTGAAGAGGTGCAAAAATATTGATTAAAACCATATCTAGCTCTGGTGAAACTACTTTATCGTTTATTTAATCTTGGGTCGTATAATTAAGATGAGACCTAAAAGCTTTCAGACAGGGATGATAATGATGCTAGGAAAGCTCCCCATAATCGTAAAACTAACTATACAACATTACGCTTTTAAGTTTTGGAACTTATGTGAAAACAACAAGTTAAGTTTGTAAAATGCACGCACAATTCAAAAGTAACTTTTTAATTAAGCAATGCACTGCGTATGCTTTTGATCATTATTACTACGTTAACACTTTGGATTATTTACATCAACAATAGTAAAGAAAATATTAAATTTCGACTCAATTACTACGCATTGATTAGCGTTTTAAATAAATAACGCTAATCTTACATTCCAGCCTTTACAACAATTACTTCATCGATAAGCATGAGCATGATTTTTAAAATTAAACCACACATTGCTTTGTAAAAAAAGGAACGTTATACTAAATTAAATATAAGAAAATGCAATTACAGTATACGATTTACACAAAAAGGGATATAGCACAATATAGCACTTTATTTGTGTTTATTTGTGCTCTTTTATTGTAAGCTTGTTGGTTTGATGATGAAACAAATGTAACTTTATTTTATTTTTTTTCTTTAGGCCATTATTTGAAATTATTATAAGAAATGAACGGAAGTGACTTGTAGAAATATAGGCCTTTGCAAGATAACAGGATTTTTACATAAAACACTGATATTTTTTAGATAAAACTATTATCTTTTTGATCATGAATACCTAAATTAATTTTATTAAGTAAAATTTGTCTACTTAGTATTAACTAGAACACGTTCCAACGTCATATCAAATGCTGCACAGTTTTGTACTTGTGTTTATAAGCTATAATTTACATTTTTCACAATTGCAATATTTAATCTTACCAACGTCTTAACTACTGAGCATTTAAACTTATTTATCTCTGATTAAACTAAGCAAGCATTATTATTTTTTTTCTGTATGAGTGGTTTCTCTGTATTTATTATTGGTTATTTCTGTAAGCATATTCACCTGTATTCCATGCTCACTGAAGATGCATAATCCATGCATGTCAACACAACAGTTTCACTTTAACCGTTGTAATGTACTATATTATTTAGTAATTATGCATTCTGTCTGTATTTGTAAATATTTAGATCTGTATTTAAAATACAATGTTTCTCGTAGTAAATAGTGATTATATCCCTAAAATATCATTGTTCCTGATATATGGGTCAATAGTTGGGTTTCATTTAAGAAAAGTATGGATAAATCGATAAAATATGAAGGAGGAAACTTATACTATATATTGTGAAAATTAACTTAGAGAAATTATGTAATGTATTGTTTTGTTTTCATTTTACTAAAAGAATAAATATCCACAAATCAATATGTAAATTAAAATTTATCTGTCAGTCTTTATTAAAATATGCAACGTTTTATGTTTCTGTTTCAGATATTTACTACTATTCCTTACTTCAGGCCAATTAAACTTTCTACTTAATGCTTTTAATAAACATTTTTGTTTAATAAATCAGAAATGTACATTTATAAATTTATTTCATGTAAGTGTAAACTCTATACTAGATGAAATTTGGTGTATTGCGGTTTTCTAACATGATTTGAATTGCCTACATTTACAATGGTTTATATTGTTTTAATAATTTAATTTTTTTAAGAACACTACAAAAGTAAATTTTTAATCTCCCTCCTTTGTGGAAATAAAGGTAAACCAATAGCCACATCACTCTTTTCATGTGTCCAATAATGCATCGATTATACAAGAGATATTCGATGACTGTCTTTTCTCGAGTTTGAGATTATTTTAACTACTTACACTATTTTCCCTCCAGATAAATCCAAGGATGAAGTGAGTAGAACTATGGTGTCCCATGTATCCATCGCCATGGCACCCATAAGAGCTTCTCAATTGCCTGATCACATCTATGGGGACTGCCTTTGACTGCTCATCTGCTGTTTTTGTCTACAAACAAATTAAAAAACTACCTAGATGGTAAAAAGTATAGTTCGATTCTTAAAGAAGTTACCAAAGAGCTTAGTTAAAATGTAATTATGGTTAAATGTTTCCAACAAAGATGAATATTGTGTATTTAAACAAAGTTGTGAAATTGAACTAAGTATGAAAACGTATTGAATGTCTTAAACGATCAGTGAATCAGATATGTGTCCTCATAAACCTTTTGCTATTAAAAATTCAATTTAAATCTTCGTTAAATGTTGTATTGGGCGTGAAGAATATTTTGTATTTTTTTCAAAATCGTAAAGTTTTACGCCGGTAATAGATTGAAACATTATAACGAGATTGTACTTTTCTTTTAATGCACATAAAATAATTCGGCTGGTAAGATGTATTTGAATGTTTTGATTAATTCTAATAACTCAATAACTTTGTTATGCCTAAGAACTGATTCTGCCAAAGAATCTTACCTAAGCAAGTGGTTTTTCAAACCTTTTCACATCCTTTGCTAAAACTTATTTTCACATTTATAATACTCCTTAATTTAAAACCACATTATGTGGATAATGAAAAATGTTAATTGATTTAACCATCAAAAATAGTTGATCCAGGTTTTTTATTTATGTTAATAAAATCAAAGACTAAGCTAAAATAATCTTCTAAACATTCCACGATGTAACATTATCGCATGTTTTTCTTCATCGTTAATTTTTTTCAACAAACAAAATACACCTAGAGTTGCAGTTTTTTTTATACTAATCTTCAACTAAGGAAACTTTGGAAATAATTTTACAAGCAATATTATTTATATAAGTAAACATTAAATTTGTCTTTTTTTTAGGTGATTATTAATTATATAGATATTAGCACGTATGATATTAATTTATTATTTATAATAAAATCACTTGTTGTAATAGTTGTTTACCATAAAAATATCCTCAATTATTTATTTGCACTCAAGTTAACTATCTTGTTTGTATAGTGTAATTAGTCCATTAATTCATAATTAATAATTATTAGTGTAATTAGGTGCATATTTCGTTATTCATTCTGCCATCATAGGTTATATTCAGTTTCATTGCGAAACACTACAAAATCATGAGGCACCCTAGTCAACGAAAACATGCAATACTGGTATATTTTAATTCATCTTTTTTAACGTAACAGTTTTTTTTTTACTCTACAAAGTTTTTGTTCATTGTTTAAACATTAACAAACCAAAATTTAACTGGTTTCTATGGACATTTACAAAATTGCATTTATATCAGCTAATATTTACATAACAACTATTTCAAAAATAAGCCTTATAAAGACATTATGCTCACTTTTTATTTACATTTTTATTAGTTATAACCGGAACATTCCGGCTTAGTCGTGTATTATTTGATGGGTTATCAATATTTAGTTAATTATGATAAATATTTGATTTATAGAATATCCTAGCCTGCTTTTTCAAGTATAAATCATGTAATAGTATAGTTATATGGAAGTCTTTGTAAATAATACCCAGAACTGATCTAGATGGCCAAAGATAAAAAATATAGACTTGAAGGAATAACATTCACCATTTAATAGTGCATAGTTTGCTAACAGAACTAGTCAAAATGCCATATTCTGCTGGTCATTTAACACCTTATAATCTTTCTCTTGTTATTTCAAGTGCATTGTTCTGTTTGTAATATATACTTATATAATATATTTTTACACCATACGTATAATTATTTATTTAGTTAGGGTTAAACAATATGTAAATACTCGTGTTACATTATATACATGTACATAATTTTCTATTGAGATTTATTAAAATGAAATATACGATAAATTATCATAGTTGAGAATTCAATTATCTTCCTATATTTGTTTGTATATCTTTGACTTAGGTATTATCAATGTAGTTCCTATAGCTGTGCGCCACAATTCTCATGAAAAATATATTTCCTATTACAACTGATTTATAGAAAAAAATGAACGGGTAAAAAAAATCATAGGCATCTCGCTGGGAAGGTGTGAAAAGCAGGTAAAGGTGCATTTGATCTAATAGTGTGTTATTAGTTATTGTAGAGTTGTAATACTATATTGAAACACATGACGAATTATTTTTAACCCGTATGCTTGTTTACATTACATATACAATTTAAAGGTGATTTGATGCTACTAAGAAGACTGTCAACTAATAAACTATAATATACATTATTTTTCATCATTATATTATATTTCACTACTACTAAAAACAAAGTAATTTTTACACTAATAGCAGACTAAGTAGCTTAGACTAAGTAGCATTTAAAGTTAATACCACAAGTAAGTTCAGAATTCAATCAAACTTTCTAATTCAACAATCAATATGTAAACAGTGCTTCAAACTCAAACTCTATTATTTATAAGACAAATCCAATCTTATTTTGGGATTGGAAAGTTTGCAGTGTTGGTTCTGCTTTTTTGTAAAGTTATCTCAGACCAATCTAAGTAAACAACATTGCAACTTGAATATTGCAATTGGCTGGTTGCTCATTGTCATTGCCAATTGTGAACAGTTAACAATAAACGGGGTTTCCTCTGTAGAGTCACTACATTAATTTGTAGTCTTAATAGCAAGAAGTAGATCTAGAGCCACTGTATTTATCTTATTGTGAAAAAGGCAAAAAATATATGACATTTAGATTATTTAGGTGCATATTTGGTTATTCTATAAGACATGTTTCCATCACTAAACCATCAAATGAATTAACTGGTGATTTAGCAAGTTTTATTTTACTATACGCCAATAATTGCTACGGAAGCACAAATTTCAAAATGTTTTCTAGGAAAAAATACGGATTTTTTGGGAAATATCCTTGTAAACATTTATAGGTTTTTAAATAAATCGAAACAATAATATTCCTTTTAGCCAAAATCTCCAATAGAAACTTAATAAGCGAACGCCGTTTATTTTTTATTTTTTTACTGGTTCTAAATCAATAGTTGGTGTGAGACGGTGAGAAATTCGCTAGCACAACAGACTACAAACCCGTGGCAACAATGTCGTGGATTCGCACCCTGATCCAACTAAATTTTATCGGACCAGATAAATCTTGTATTACGCCAGACCACCCCTTGATTTGCTGGATGACAGATTGTGCTGAAGTAACTCACTGATTTTTTACGGATACGCGGTTTTTCAACTTAGCCAGACTGATAGAATTGTATTTAATACCAGTTCTGTGTTCTAACTATGTTCAACAAATTTGTGACAGCTGGCCCATATAGATGAGATGTTTACTTCATTATCCAAAGTCAATGGTAGAAGTGACTCATGGAAAGTAGTGGTGGCTGGTGTCCAAAGTGCAATGCACCGGATGGTGTCTGTTGTGATTAGATTATGCAGAAGGTCGATATCAACTAGCCACCAACCTAAATCATAACCAAGGGCTACCTTATTTTTATACGGTTTAAGGTATTAACCTAATTCCTATGGGTGATAAGAAAACTGTTGTGGTTTATTTGTTTATGGATATATTTTGATCGAAATTGGCAAATGTATTATTTTTATACTAAGCTTCAAAAATTTTATCGGAAACACAATTTACTCTAATTATAATTTTAATTGTGTTACTGTTAGTTTAATTATTTCCAATGTTTGTTGTTTTTAATACTGCACAATGTTTATGCAGGATTTAGTATGTTGTGAATATTTTCAATGAGAAGTTTTTTGACAGGCTACTTTTTGAGGGATAATTGAGATGGTGTAGAATTAATTTTACTTGAAAACGGGAGGAGTTGGTCCACCTCCAGAAAAGTTTTGTAGCTTTAAACACAAGAAATGTTAGAAAAATCCAAATGACAATAGTAACCTGTTTAAGGAAATATTTGAGTGTAAATAAAATTAGAAAATTGGAAATTCGCTTAGTCTAATGTATAGGAAAATTAAATCGTCAACTTTTAATCATATTTTAGTGTTTCCCACTCAAGGAATGATTAAGCAATCAGTAGATGTTGAAGATAGTTAGTGTTTTTTAAAGTGTGGGCTGGTAAAGTTATGGCCAAAAGAGATCGGTGTTATATTGTTTACCATCGGGTTGTGTAACTTTGGTTTTATCTGATTGAAACATTTTCCAGGAAAAGTTTCTGAGTTGGTTATCATTTATCTAAATGTTGTCACACTTATATAATAGTAGAGAGCCGATTTCTTTAACTATACTAAAAGTTTGGTTTCAACAATACTTTACCATATTTTCAAATTAAGATTTTTGTTCAGTTTTCCTAAATAAATTCTGACATTTCGATAAATGATTATAGATTATGTTTACACGTCAGTACCTTAATTATACATAGAAATGAGACTTAGCCAACAAAATGGTCGAGTGTTTTTACAAATAAGTACACTACTAAAAAGCGCTTAGAGAAGTAAGGTCCTACCTAAATTCTCTGCGATCAAGACTATATGAAAATAAAGTTTTTCTCTACTTACAGTTTTAAACGGACAGAAGTGTTGAGGGGTAAACTTGCCTAAAATGTTCAAATGGACTGTATGTTGAAAGAGCAATATTAAAAACTTGTCACTAATTATTTAACAGATATAATGAGATTGATGAGGTACCTTCCTTTTAACTGAAGTGTTGAGAAGACGAAGCCGGTAGACGTACACGAGTTTCTTCTGCTGGCCAGCTATTGCGTATTGCTCGTACACAGACCCGGACCGGCATTAGTAGTGTTTCACTTCACAAATGTTCAATAGTTCACTTTTACTTTTAATATGTGTCACTAATAATAATTAAATATACTTTGGGGTTAAGAGATGAGAGCAGCAATTGGGAGTTAATTGTGCCGGGGACATGTTAGTAGTTGCATGAATGCAAGAGAACTGGGGCGAGATTGGGGTTTCCAGACATCACGTGACAGGACAAAGGTTATTGTATGATATGAAGCGTCTGGAAATATCTAGGTAGCGCTTGAATACGGAACATGCCGCCCGCCTTGAACCATACATGGTTCAAAACATTGAGAAAGTTACAAAGTGACACATAATGAATAAAGATTGACATTGAAATATAAGAAACATAGATTAAATATATATACATAACATTGAAATAGAAATATGTTTGAAAATAGAATAAACATTTTGTTTGGTCTGATAATGAGATCAGGGGAGCGGGTACACCTTGGTAGCAGGACGACAGAAGGTTCCCCGCTGAGTCTTGATGGTGACAACTCGGACGATGCCGTCTGATCCAGGCGAAGTCTTCACTATGCGTCCAAGAGGCCAAAGTAGTGGTGGTGTTCTAGGGTCCTGAATTATAACGAGATCACCCACTTCTAGATTCTTGTTGGGCTTTTCCCATTTCTTTCTTTGTTGTAGCTGATGTAAATATTCTTGATGCCAACGTCGCCAGAAGCGTTGATGTAGGGCTTGTACGGTTTGCCAATGGTTGAGACGATTTTCGGGAACTTCTTCAAGATTTGGTTCCGGTACTGCCACAAGAGAAGTGCCGATAAGAAAATGACCCGGAGTAAGGGCTGAGATGTCAGATGGATCTGCGGATAACGCTGTTAAGGGTCTCGAGTTTAGTACAGCCTCCACCTGTGTGGTGAGTGTTATTAATTCCATTAGTGTTAGAACTCTATCGCCTATGACTCTTTTCAGATGATATTTAGAGCCTTTTATAGCACTCTCCCATTAGCCTCCTTGGTGGGGAGCGGCTGGTGGTTGAAAGTGAAAATTTATTGAATGATCTAACGCGAAGTTGTTAAGAGCATCTTTAGTGTTTGATTCCTTGATGAAATTCTAAAAAGTTTTCATGAGTTGCTTTGAGGCTCCAACATAGTTAGTTCCGCAATCTGAGTATAAGTGGGCACACAATCCACGACGAGAAACAAAACGTTTTAGTGCAGCTATGAAGGAGTCTACAGATAGGTCTGTTACAATTTCTAGGTGCACAGCTTTCGTAGCAAAACATACAAAGAGGCAGAGGTATGATTTTAACCGTTGAGTGTTCCTAGTTGAATGAACTTTAATGTCAAAATGTCCACTATAGTCCATGCCAGTGTGATAGAATGGCCTTACAGGTTTTAATCGAGTTTCAGGAAGATCTCCCATCAGTGGAGGTTTGTTTACAGGCTTAAGTCTGAAACATCTTTGACACTTGAAAATCACAGATCTTATCACGCTGCGGGCTGATAATATCCAAACCTCTTGAGACAGAATAGACTGCAGCAATTGAGGGCCTGCGTGTAGATGCTTTAGGTGATAATGCATAATCAACAGTTTGACAGCACAGTGAGATTTAGGTAACAAAACTGGATGTTTCGCATCTTGTGTAAGGTTGGAATGTTTCAACCTGCCGCCTACTCGCACTATTCCACTGTCATCAATATATGGGGATAAACGAGCAAGTTTTAAGCTGCATTGAGATCCCTTTTTGAGAGCAGAGATGTCATCCTTAAATGATGTATTTTGTATGAGTTTGAAAATTCTTAATTTCGCAGACGAAGTTTCTTGGCAAGTAAGTCGTCCGATGCGGGAATCATTGGCTTGTAGATTATGAATGAATCGCAATATATATGCCATGACATTTACAAGTTTCCTGAAACATGAATATTTTTCCAGTATATCAAAATCAGTGAGTTTAATCTTCTCTGTGGTTGCTAGAACGTTTAGAGGATTTGGCCTTATTTCAATAGTGTCATCATCAATAACAGGTGTGAGTTTTGGCTTAGGCCAAGAATCTGACGATGACTGTAACCATTCCGGTCCATTCCACCATAAATGATGAGTCACAAGTTGAGAGGGTGAAAGACCACGAGTGGCGCAATCTGCCGGGTTGTCTTGAGATTTGACATAATTCCATGAGTGAGGAGAGACCAATTCTTGGAGTTCTGAAATACGATTGGCAATGAAGACTTTCAAGCGGTATGGAAGAGTACGTATCCAGGTTAGGACAATTGTGGAGTCACACCAAGAATAGATTGATTCAATCTTCATATGCGCAGAGAGTATGTTTGAAGAATATTGAAGGAGTTTTCCCAGTAAGTGAGCGCCACAAAGTTCAAGCCGTGGCAGAGAAATTCTTTTCAAAGGAGCGACTTTTGATTTAGAGACGATGAGATAGAGCCTTGTATTCTCTTGAGAGTCAGTGACACGAAGGTAGACAACAGCAGCGTAGCCTTTCTCTGAAGCATCGCTGAAGCCGTGGAGTTGCACAGCCGTATGCAGAGAAGTAGAAATGTAGCGTGGAATTCTTAATTCTTGAATTATTGGGAGTTTTTCTAAGAATGAATGCCACTTGGTTCTAACATCATTTGGAACAGGTTCATCCCAAGTTAGCCATGTTGTCCAGAGATACTGAATAAGTGTTTTTGCCCAGAAAATTACGGGTGTAAGAAACCCTGGTAAATCGTACAGTTTAGCGATTGTAGATAATATTCTTCTCTTTGTAAGTATAGCACTTATTTCAACATCCTTAACCTTGTAAGAAAGCATGTCGGACTCTGGAGTCCATTTTAGACCTAGGACACTGAAGAAGGCTTCACTATTTTCAGTTAACTCCACTGGAGTCTCTTTGTGTCCAATTGGGACTTGGTCCAATAGTTCGGGTGCGTTGCTAATCCATTTTCGGAGTTCAAAACCTCCTCTAGCGAGCAAGTTCTTGAGTTCATTCTGTGCAGACAAAGCTTCATCAAGACTTTCTGCTCCAGCGATGATGTCGTCATAAAATATTGATTTAGTTAGAATCTCAGACGCCTTGGGGTATGAGTGACCCTCATCTTTGACCAATTGTTGTAATGTTCTGATCGCAATGAACGGGGAACAGTTGAGACCGTAGGTGACGGTATTTAGCTTTAAGACTTGAAGGGATTCATCAGGGTTGGATCGCCAAAAGATTAACTGATATTTCTTGTCATCTTCAGCCACCAGAATCTGGCGATACATCTGTCGTATATCACAAGTGAACACAAACTTGTGACACCTAAAGTACAGCAAGACATCACTAATATCATTCTGCAACTTAGGGCCAGGCATGAGGATATCGTTTAGGGAGACGCCATTATTTGTTTTGGAACTACCATCAAATACGACTCGTATTTTGGAATTAGGGGGATTCTCCTTAAATACTCCATGATGGGGTAAATAGTAACATTCACCAGAAAGGGGTTGCTCACATGCACTCATGTGACCTGATTTGATGTAGTCATCCATAAATTCGGAGTATAAATCTTTGAATTCGGGCTGAGCAGCAAATTTTCTTTCCATCGCTTTAAGTCTAAGTTGAGCTGTACTACAAGATTCACCTAATAGTGGATGATTTGGTCTTTTCGGTAACTTAACAACATATCGACCAGAGTTATCACGTGTATGGGTTCTTTCAAAATGCTGTAAGCAGAGAACATCTTCTTCTGACTGAGTCTTGACACATGTCGGGGGTTCTTCGATTGACCAAAACCTTTGAAGTGAACTGTGAAGGTCTCCATCATGTGTAGTGAGAAAAGAAACAGTTTTTGGGATTGATAACTCAGATTTAGCAACAGGAGCTATGCCCATTACAACAAATCCGAATATAGTTCCTAAAACTTGGGGCAGGTTATGGCCTAAGAAGTGCTGCTCACCAGTCAGTGAGAGAGCGAATAAATCAGCTCCGATCAATAGATCAATTTCTCCAGGTTTGTCAAAACAGGGGTCTGCAGGAACAAAATCATTTAAAGATCCCTTCACTTGAGGTGAGACTGGGATCTGAGGCAGTGGTGAAGTGATACGATTCAAAACCAAGCATGGATGATGGTAGGCTAAGCGTTGACCATTAACTGCAGATATATCAATGTGCACTATTCCTCTAGAATGAATTAGTGAGCCAGAAATTCCTTGGATTTCATCATGTGCTCGAGTACGGGAGGCACTGATGAGCTGAACAGCTCTTTCAGATATCAATGTAAGTTGAGATGCAGAGTCGAGCACAGCACGGAGTACAGTTTGCTGACCATCTTTGGAAAACACCTGAACTAAACATGTTCCAAGTAAAATTGTTGTTTTAGTTGGGTTTAACTGGCTGGACAATCCTACAAGAGCACTTTTATTCACTGGTGCGGTGACATGGCTTTGGGGTGCGTTATTTGTAGGCGGCTTACCATATTTTTTTTCAAAAACCTTGGTTGGGTCACTTGGCTGCTGTTGTGTGGGAGTTGAGTCATGTAAGAGAGTGTGATGTCGCTTTGAACAAATTCGACACACTCTATGAGAAGGACAGTTAGCCTATTAGTATCATGTAGATGGCCTAGGCAGTTGGCGCATAGATTATTTTTACAAGTGAATTCAACTCTATCACCTCTACTTTTAGCCTGAAAGGCTTGACACTTGTATATATTGTGATCGGATGCTTGACAAAACTTACAAGTGTTAGTCACTGTGACGAAAGCTGTTTTAGCTTGAGAGGAGTAAGGTTTACTATCTCGAAGAGGTTTAGGCCTATAACTATTAGATTGAGTCTTTTGCACTGAAGGGTATCTTGCGTTAGCTGAGGGACCAAGACCGATACTAGCTCCTTCTAATCGTTTAAATTCTCTTTCAAGGAATTGAATTAGATCATTTACTGCAGGTATGTCATTGTTTGTGATGCGAGAATCCTCAAAAGATTTTCTTAAGTCAGTAGGTAACTTTTTCAAAAGCGTTAGGACAAGCAGAGTATTTTCAGCTGTTATGTCATGGTTGAGATTTTTCAAAACTTGAGTGTTCTCTTTATAAACTGTGAGAAAATGTTGGAGACTTTTGAGAGAACCACTACTTATGCATGGCAAATCAATGATTTTTGTAACAAGCTGAGTTACAACACGCCTTTTGTTATCATAGCGATCCTTAAGCAGCCTAAGTGCAACATCAAAGTTTTCCGCAGTTATGCTTAAGCTCTTTACTAAATCTAAGGGTTCACCACTTAAAGAACTAAGCAGATATTGGAACTTACTCACAGGGGCCAAAGTTTCATTCCTATTAATAGAAGCCTCAAAAATATTGTAGTAGCTAACCCATTCTTCGTAGATACCGCTGAATTTGGGCAACTCAAATTTGGGCAGTCGCAGAGATGGTTGGGTGGGAGGTGTTACTTCTTTAGTTTTAGCAGGTAACACTATTTTCAAGTCACTGATCAGAGAAATGTACAAGTCCGAAATTTCATCTTGCATAGAGCATGCTTCAGTTTCGTCATAATCAGAACCAGGATCATCATAAACCACTTTATCGAATAAAGCTTTAAAATCTGAGAATAAACCTCTAACTTCATCATCATAGTTGTGTAAGCGCTGAATGGAAACAACATTTAATGATTGAGTTTCTGAGAGAGTAGTTTGGGCTGACACAAACTTGCTTATTTTCTGAAGCCTATTTTTGACAAGTTTTGCCTTTTTCTCTAGTGTAGAGAATCTCATTTTAACAGACCATTTATGTAATCAACAGAGTAAGCTATAGGCCTAAGTTTATCATAAGTTTAGGCCTAAGTAAATATTCCCACAACTAAATATCAAAATAACTCCAAGTCTTAGACCTAACAATAATGCAAATTAATAGCTCAGAATAAATCAATTCATTCACTCTATAAGAAATAATGAATGTAAAATTATATTTCACTTTACCATCAGACCCAGGATAGACATAGTAAATAAAGGTAAAGTCTATTTAACACAAGTCATTTAATTTGAATCAGTATTTTCGCAGAATAAATTGAGTAGGGAAGTATTTATTATGAGCAATATCCTTAATGTAGACAAGAATCGATTCAACCACTAATATTTCGTTTAATATTCACACAAAACAATATTTTCCAAGATGTAAATAAACTTGAAGGTTACGTTTATATTTTGATTCAATTCACACAGCTGTATGTAGCTGGAGTGTGTTTTATATTCAGTCAGCTGATTTCCTGTGCTTGAAACTGAGTTTTACATATGATCAATTTGAAGAAGCAATATCATTGGGCGATTTATTCTGTTTTACGAATCTCGACGCTCATTGGTTCTTGCGACGTGCAGACTGTAGGCAGAGCGCTCTAGTGGAGAAGTTCGCTACCAAGGTGCATCGCAAGGACAGAAAATATAAAATGGCTGACTTTCTGATAAGTGAAAATATGTTAGAAAATTAAGGACGAAACAAAGTGCAGACAAAAATTATTGTTAATGACAATAATTGATATGGTGAATTGATTGAGAAACTTAGAGAAAATATTAAATATCCTAATTAATTCCTGATTTCAAATAACTATTTGAAAGGAAATATGACGTGATTCATGTAGCAGTGGGAGGACATGAACATGAAACTAACATGAAATATTCACGTCTGAGATGGCACAGGGGAATGGAATAAAATATTATTTATTCACCAAAACTAGTAATGGGGAATACAAATGCTGCTCTAATTATTTAGAGAAGTGACACTTTTTAGAGTTTAGTTGTACAATTTTAACAGTTACAGTAGCTAGGCTAATAAAAGCACAATATATTATTAATGATAAGATTTTCGTCCGACTCGACAGGACCAGCGGATGAGGGGTAAACTTGCCTAAAATGTTCAAATGGACTGTATGTTGAAAGAGCAATATTAAAAACTTGTCACTAATTATTTAACAGATATAATGAGATTGATGAGGTACCTTCCTTTTAACTGAAGTGTTGAGAAGACGAAGCCGGTAGACGTACACGAGTTTCTTCTGCTGGCCAGCTATTGCGTATTGCTCGTACACAGACCCGGACCGGCAGTAGTAGTGTTTCACTTCAAAAATGTTCAATAGTTCACTTTTACTTTTAATATGTGTCACTAATAATAATTAAATATACTTTGGGGTTAAGAGATGAGAGCAGCAATTGGGAGTTAATTGTGCCGGGGACATGTTAGTAGTTGCATGAATGCAAGAGAACTGGGGCGAGATTGGGGTTTCCAGACATCACGTGACAGGACAAAGGTTATTGTATGATATGAAGCGTCTGGAAATATCTAGGTAGCGCTTGAATACGGAACAAGTGTTATGTGCGTATTGTGACTATGTTTGAAAACATTTGAGAAAATTAAGACCATTAGACAAGAAATTAAATTATTCAAACACAATAAATGTGGGTATTTAATTGACGTTTGTTTGAACTCGTTGTGTATGGTTTTTTATCAACCAGCACAATACACTATGAATGCCAACCCAGTAAATTCAACAAAAATGTAATAAAGTTAAAAATACAAAAGTCTACCTTAAAAAAATACTAGAGTAGACTATTTTTAAGTATGATCGGTTCTCAACAGTTTTAGTGTTTATTACAAGTTTATTATATTATATTTAAATACATTTTATTCATGTTTTATACAAACATAGTCAGGAGACACGTTTAAATATAAAGGGTTTTTGTAAATTCTACAGTAAATCAGAATACTGGTATAGTAAGAGTTATAATAAGAATTATATAGGTCGTTATAGTAAAAACAATATAGGTCGTTATAGTAAAAACAATATAATAATCATTTTACGTTTTGAAACTTCCCCAAATGACTATTCCGAAATTGGGCGTATAAACCTCCTCAGAATTTTTAGATCATATTGTGTGAACATCTTCACACAATTGTGAACTTGTGTGAAACGCAACAAAAGTTCATAACTCTAGACAAAACGCTGAGCGTAAACTATGGTGATTTTTTAGTGAGTGGAGAAAATGGATTATGTTAAATAACCACAAAATTTGCCTATTGAATAATGCATGCAGTTTCCAACCACATACACTTTTTACACCCCTATAAACTCTTTATCTCAAAGTGGAAGAAATGTTTACGGACAATATACTGATAGTAATCAGAAACACCACTTTTATTTATTCAAGGATCGTAAACACATTTCAAAAATAAATAACAAAACAACAATATAATGGCATCTGGTTCTGTAAAAATGCCAAATTAAATTATTATAACAGCTGCTCACGCCTGTATTATCGCATAAGCTGATAAACAAACTATTGTTAATTAAATCTCAAATTAAATTACATATTTTTTATAGAATGTTAGGGAGTACCTGTACGCTTTTCGTGTAGAAAATATTTATTAGTGAATGATATGTAATATAAATTTATGAACTGATAACGTTCAAACATTTTCCTTGCAAAATAATGCATATTGACACATAAATGTATTTATACATTTTAATGACAAAATAAAATCCAACACTATAACGACTATCTTATCGAACTACATACTTAAGTGTATATCTGGAGTTTGTCACATCCTAATAATGAAAGGAATTGGCATATCGATATAAATAAGAGATATTTCAAGTCATATCATCCATTTCATGATAAACTGTTAAACTTATTTGGCTATTGAGAGGTGATTGAGTAGTGATTTTTTTATAAAACGTTAATAGGAGGGATGAATATGAATTGCGTCAAAAATACAACTTATATATGATCTATATTGGATTATATTGATAAAAATTAATAAACTTAACTGATACAAGTATAAGTTGTTAGGTAAAAACTTAACCGTTTAGTACTCTCATGATGACGTAATTAGAATCCTTTTACCATGCACACCATAGGCATAATGCTACCATAATGTAATGTCCCAATGGGTATCGTGGGATTGGAAGTAATGGCTGATCGCACTGTTTCAGCCATAACCAATTTGAATTGTTATACCCAAAATCCCATTATTATCTTTGCATGTTACTAAATGGTAATTAAAAAGCATTAAACTCCAATTGACTGTTCTAAGAGTATTACAAGGTATTACAAGGTTTCAAGAATGATCCAGGATTCTTCCACAACAGTCCTTCTAAAACACAAAGATTTTTTTTTCAAATTTTATGAAACAAATAAATTGTCAAAGAGTATACTATTAAGCCTAAAACATAGTCAATTTCAATTATACTGTACTTCATCAGTTCTTCTCCAAATCCGGTAAAAATTATTAAAGTGGAGAGAATCAAAATAATTCGTGACCAATCCCTATGGCGTCCTCGAAACTTCAAAAATATGGAAAGAAAAAATGGAACCATTATCAGGGTCTAGCTTAGGCCCACTTCAGGATGTTTTACCTTCGTTATCGCAATGTTTATAACAAAAAGTATTAGATACTTCCAATCTCTTTTGTCGTCATTTTTTCACAGTTTAGCACTAAACTACCAAATACAGTTAGAAATGTATTTAACATACTCCCTATCATAGTCCAACACATTTCATCCGTGAACACAATAACTACACACAGGTAACTGTTTGATAACAGTTAACGGGAAACTGTAAAATACATACACATGTTTAGAAACCACTACAGCTTAAAGAACTGACTGAATCACTGAACACCATTGTTTAACAGTGGACAGCAAACTGTAAATGACTGTTTTATCATCAGACATCCTCCAATGATAACAACTATCTGCTCATGTGGTAGATGTGTGATAAACGTGGGTGTACTAGCTTTTGTATTTAAAATCGTTACTACATCATTGCTACAGTTAGTAAGTCAATTAAAATAAATAAATACATAGTTACACAGGTATAAGTTGTTTGGTAAAAACGTAATTGTATAGTATTCTCATAATAACGTAAATACCATCCTTATACCATACACACCGTAGGTATAATCCCATCAAATAGTGTCCCTTTTGGGTAATTTGGGATTGGAAGTAATAGCTGATCACAAGGTTTCAGCCAAAAGCCATTCATTATTATTTCAAAATCACATCATTGTCCAAAGTTGGTAGATTGCTGCTATTTATCTTACACAGCTTGTTTTAGATAATAGGATTTTGAACCACTTATGTTAGTGTTTTTTTTTCAACAGTTATTTTTTGTTAAGCTTTATAAATATTTTGTGTTGCATGCAAATTGAAACAAGATTTTCCTTTTTTAGTAATTTGAACACACCATTACTAAAATCTTCAATAATTGACATTTCAAATATTTCTTTTCAAAAACTCTACATGAACTAAAAAGAAGTAACCAATAATAAGGTTTGCATTGTTAAAGCTTGCAATGTAATACGGTTTTTTAAAATGAATCACAACAATAAACTTCAAAGCTATTTAATACATTATACAAAATAAAGAATAATTTTTGATATAGGTTTTATATAGCAGGCACAATTATAAGAATACATAAATAATTTTGTAAATTCAATAGTTTTTATTAAAGCTGTTTTGATTGTATTGCCAAACAATTAA